TACTTTGCTTCCAGCTTTCCAATAACAGGAAGGAATTCTGAGTTTTCATCTACCAACAGATAGTACTGAACCCCAAACCTGAGCATCACACACTTGGTGATTGCAGAGCAGACATGAGAGAGGGCTTTGCCTACAGTCTGCTCATTCAGGAACCACAGCTCCAAAAATGTATTGGGCTGTTATGACCCTTTAATTTCCTTTCCCACAGCTGATTAGAATTTCATTTGGCCTCAGTTAGCTTTGAGAAGAACAAGTATCTCCTTAATCTATACTTATAAAAAAGAATAAGTTCATTATTTCAAAATGCTGCACAACAAGTTACCTTATATGGACATAGATAAAGTGAAAAGACATGGTGATGAGTTAGTCTATGTAATCAGAAGCACCTGCTATGGAAAATTGACTTAAGACACATTCTCATTTTCTGACTTTGCTCTCCCACATGGCCCTATTTTTATTTCTCATAATTAATCTTTCCTCCTCCCTCCACTGCCTAATTTGTTTCACTCACCAGGACCTTGAGATTCTCCAGCATTTTGCCACATTTCTTCCCTCTTTCTAGTCTTTATTTTATATTAATATTAATAACAGCATCTGTAGCTGCACTGAGGCAGTTAAGAATGCAACTGCATCACTTCTTACCTACTCCATGACCACTACCCTGGTTCAAGCTACTATCTTTTCTAACCTGGATTATTACACCAGCCTCCTAAATGGTCTCCTTAACCCTGAGCATTGAATCTGTATATTGCTTTGAGCAGCATAGCCATTTTCACGATATTGATTCTTTCCATCCATGAGTATGGGTTGTGTTTCTGTTTATGTCACCTATGATTTCTTTCAGCAGAGTTTTGTAGTTTTCCTTGTAGACATCTTTCACCTCCATGGTAAATTATTCCTATTTTTTTCTTCAGCCGTTTTAAAAGGGATTAAGTTCTTAATTTGATCCTTAGCTTGGTCTTTGTTGATGTATAGCAGTGCTACTTATTCATGTACATTGATTCTGTAACTTGAGGCTTTATTGTATTCATTTACCAATTCTAGGAGTCTTTTAGAGAAGCTTCAGGGTTTTCTAGGTATACGATCATATCACTGGCAAATAGCAAAAATAAGAGGTATAATATTTAAAGGGGACATTGGTGTGGAACTAGTCATGATTTGGGACTGTGATGATGGCGTTGTGTGATACTGAAATGTCTCTAGTTAGAGCACTTACTACCTGGGGTGGAGGGTGTGGTGCTCTGCATTCTGAAAACCTGGCGATCTTTGTCTGAGGGATGCAAAAAAGCCCCTGGAGTTGTAAGCAAAAGTATTTGTGTGTGCTTCTCCAATGCTAAAATTTAGTAATTGCAACCGACACCATATGGTTCACAAAGCCTACAGTATTTAGTATCCAGTCCTTTGCAGAAAAAGTTTGCTGACCCTTGGCATTCAGAGTTCAATAGAATATATCAGTGTTTTTCAGGTAGTAAAGATAAGTATTGTTTGTGAAATGTTCATTTCAGTTATGAGTGTGTGACACTGAATAGAGATAGAAAATGCATTTCTTAGTATGGAAGCAGACAAAAAATTGAAAATCACTCTTGCAGTCTATGTTAAGGAATTGGATTTCATTTTTAAAGGAACCATTGTCAAGTTCTAAGCTCAGCTGTGATTTAACCAGTGTTGTGTTTTAGCAAGATCCGACTGTCTGCAGTATAAAGAATGCTATAAAGGGAAGCAAGGTGAATAAGAGGCAGATTAAGAGACAATTTCCATCATCCAGATGAGGGATGCTGAAGCCTGGGCCACTGTGGTACCAGTGGGAATAAAGAAAGTTTATCAGACATTTTTGGAAAAGTTCCTGAGTATCGATTTAAGGGCTTAAAATACCTCTGTCTCAACAATATCCCTATTTTTCTGCTAAAAGGGAAAAAATGGCACTGGCAAAGCATCTCAGTGTTTACCATCGCATTTAACTCAGCTCTGTCATTGAAAACCCTGAGAACTATATCCCAGACTGAGAAGTTCTGGGCCACTGAGGCAAATTAAGAAGACTTCAACAACAAATGTTTTAAATGACTTGGTAGCCTCTCTATATAGAGGCCTTCTTTGGAGAATCTGTTCTACTCATTACTAAAGACTTTATGCATGAAGTTGGGACCATTCCTCTCCTCCCTTTCCATTTTTTTTAATCTGACCTGACTTCTTAGTTTAGCTCCATGTCAGGGCCCTTGCTAACTTAGAAGGACCAGATAAAGGTCCTTTGGGGGCCTATCAACACCTCTTCAACTCCACTTGCAATATGAGGCAGGCATAAAAACAAATCCCTAGGTTTCTGATGGCCCAGTGCTTACAGCTGATTCAGCCACATTTCTCAGCTGATTGTTCCACCCCGATTTCTTTCCTTATAGTAGCCTGGGGTTTCAATTTCTTTTTCAAACATGCCTTCCGTATTCACTACTACTATAACCTTGCCTTAGCCATCAACCTCCCTCACCCTCAACTAACTTTCTAGATCTAAAAAAGATAGCCAAGGCCTGTTACTAACATATACTGGGATTGACTCCAACTGTGCTGACCTATAACACACATGAATACATCCTTGACAGATTGCTTGAAACCCAGAGGGACAGATGAATATAGGGTTACCAGACCTTCATTTCAAGGGCTGTTGACTAGCTAGAGTGCACAGACTCTAAAAGGAGCCACAGTCCTGCCATGCATGACTAATGCAACTTGAAAGGCAGGAACTGGGTAGAGAAGGAGTAGGAACATGCCTAGGAGGCTGATCAAAAGCACCCTAGCTTGAAAAATCCCACTGCTGCAATTACTTCTTTGGGCCATGACATTGGTTTCCCAAAGATCTCAGTTAAAATGTCAACACGTTCTCTAGGATGGATAAATGCCTTAAGACATTAGCACCCACTATTGCTACTCTAGTCAGAAAGAACTTATCAGGTTGGTTGTTGTTCCCTTAAGAGTAATTGAAAAGAATAATAATTCCTAAGTAGACAAACATGGATTTGAATCCTAGCTCTGTCATTTAGTATTCATGTGGCACTGGGCAAGTTCCCATAAGCTTTCTGAGCCTCAATTTATTTGCGTATAAATATTATTTATTTATATATCTTTATTTACTACATAAGTTGCTGTAAGGATAAAATGGGATAATGTTTGTAAAGTGTCTCGCACATAGTAAGTGCTAATGAAAAGTCTTGTTCCCTTAAGTCCTAGCACTCCCCACTCTGCCCAGGCCTTGAATGTCCACATTAAATGAGTTGCTCAGAAAAAAGCAGTAAATGGATGGAAGTGTCTGATATGTGCAAATAGGTTATTTGTGAAGGTATAGAAAGATTAACACCTAAAACTCTCAGGGAAAACCTCTCTGCTCCCATCCTAAAAAATTTTGTTTTCGAAGTAAAAGCCCTATCCCTTTACAAGTGGTAGCAGTGCGTTCAAGGTATACCTCTCTAAGGCATGTCTATACCCCCAAACCAAAATAATATAAATGGTTACTCGTATCTTTGTCTCTGGAGCAGCTATCATCTCCCGTTGGAGAATGCCCTCTTACATATCAATTCCCATCATGGTTTATTGACTTCACACCCAGCATGTCAGTGACATATACAAGATGTGTAACAAGCACTTTGGATAATTTTAACAAAGTATTTTGTTTTGTTTTATAAAGTTGAATCGATTTGAGGTAATGCCTATAATCTTGCCACTCTCCCACACTTAGGCAGAGTTACTGGCATGGTCAATGACCTTGCATATGCCTGTGTTGCATATGTAAATGTCCTTCATCATGTGAGACTTTATTTTCTCTTGCTCATTCCTTGGAGGATCTTATTTTAGGGTGGAGTTGCCAGTTCCTTTCCAGCCCCTCCCCCTGAAAAAAAAAAAGTTAGTTGAAATGGTGTCAAAGAAACTTATTTTGTTTTTGGTGTGAACTAACCCAGAAGCATGCATATAGCCTCCTATGACTTAATGTCCTCCAAGCCAGTGACACAAAGCCTCCTTCCAATATGCTTTTATGAACTTCTGGGAGTTTGCGGGAACATCTGTACATACATCAGTATATGTGACTCCATGTGTCCCAGCATGTCTGTGCTTGTATTCTGATGCAACACCTGTTAAACTAACTATAGTACCAAATTGCTGGCTATTGCTGTGGCTTTAGGGCTAATTCTGGAGCATAAGATGCAATCTCAATTTAATACAGGTGGATAGAGATAACAGGAAGATGGAGATCCAGGGAGACAGTGGATTTCCTTGAGATCATTTTTAATTGTCCGGAGAGAATAGGTCATGCTGAAGCAATTTAGCCTTTAACCACTAATGGCACTATTTGGAAATGTTCTGCCATGCTCCTGTTTTTCCTCTACTCTGATTTTTCTTTTTTTCCTGCCAGTCGCAGGCAGAATAAATACTTACAGCCCAATTGCTAAGTCCCAGAGAATAACAGCTTGGATAAAGAAAGCTTGTCAGGGCTTTCTCTGCAGCCTTGTTCTGTGCAAAGTCAGAGTGTCTCCTGTTGCTTCACTTTCAAACCTGAAGGCATCAAAGGGGCAGCCAGGTCATCTTTGTTTTAAACTCTCTTTTCCCCTACTGTCAGCCTCCACTATTTCTCACCTTTTTAAAAATTAATTCTTCAGAGAAGTCTCACTGTCAAGTTGCCGTGAAATGATTTATTTTAAAGAATGGCTTTAGCGCTCTTGTTTAGAGTACCATCCAGGAAAGTCTTTACCATTCCACATATGTATGGGACTCCCTCTTCAGGCATGGTATTGACTGGGGTAGAAAGCAGAGGAGGTACTCAGGAAATGAGTGGAACCCACTGGAGGAAGAGGTCCCTCTTAGTTGGAGGGTCGTGAATGCTGTGAAATAGAAAAGGCAAAAGGAACCCTTGGGGTCTGAACATCAATGACTTCACTAAGGACTGGTGACCTCTTAGGTCTAAGAGTAGCCCCCCGTGAGCCAACAAACACTCTCCAAAACACATTCCACCAAACACTCAATAATTTTTCCATAATAGCCTTTAATACTAAAATGCATTAAATTTTTGAAGCAGAGAAAACACATTTAAAGGGGGAAACAGAGAACCACCAGATAAAAGGAAACAATGTGGCAGATAACACCATTTAAAACATAACTGTAATAATTTAATAAAGCTGCTTTATCATCATCATAAAATAGACAGTGGTGATTCTTTTTTGTCTTTTTTCTTTTTACAATGATTCAATCACTGTGAAAATGTACATAACATACAGATCAGCATATACAACAACTTCATCTTCATATAATCAGCAACAGACTGCTTAATGAGACATACTGTACTTGCATCCCTCTAAATTTCCACCCTGGTTTGACAGGTAAACAGTAATAGTGTCATCAGGCTCATTCCCCTCACTAGAGGAGCGAAGGCGTAAGCCTTTTGCAACTAATACCTTAGCATTCAAATAGCACAAGGAGGTATTTGTTGCTGAATTTCTAGCTTGAGCTAGTCTGGCTCTTGGTCATTAAAGTCTGTATCCTAGCCTTCCTCAGCTGAACGCCAGCCAGTGCCAGTAAAAAACTACTTAACCAGTGCTGTAATGGTGTTAGCTGGTTTGTTTGCTAAGGTTGACAGCAACTTTCAGTTAGTAACAAGGTCATCTTGAATTGCCAACACAGCTGGAGCAACAGTCGGCATCATCAGTTTTCCCTAATGACCTACAATGCTTTCCAATCAAGATCAGGTGTTTGTGGGTTATTCTTTACCAAGAGCGCCTTCCAATCTATATTTCAGACAAGGTGGTAGATTTTCTTTGTTTCACAAAAGCAATATGATTCTTATTTGAAATTAATTCACTTTTTCACAACAAGTGACCCACAGGCCAATTCCAGCCTCACAAGAAAACAAAGAGAGCTGCAACAACTTCATTAGGACAATGTGTTTTGCTCTGGAATATTTCATTATCAATATAAAGCCACCCAGTCCCAGCCCCACCCCCACACATCCCCTTTGAATATTACTTTGTTACATACTTAAACTAAAGAACAACATCTCAATACACTTCAGTGTCAGCAGATACAATTTGACTCATGAAATGACATCCTTAAATGTAATTTTACCAAGAAGGCAAACACTAGGACTGTATACAATGGATTTCTTAAGCTCACTTATGCCAGTTTTTCGAAGGCAATAAGGGTCTTATTACCCAGGGTAAAGAGCCAAGTGGACTAACTTGTCAGAATGCTTTGGGGAATATTCAACATCAAAATGATCCCCAGAAAGTGGATTGGAATTCCAGCCAGAATTGCTATTATATACAATAATAATCCTTTTTTCACCCTGGATGCCCAGTCGAGCTATTTCCTTCACCCTGCCTCTCCCTAAACTGCCCTTTGTCCTTGCTGCTTTAAGTGGACCACTTTTATTTTTTACTTTTTAAAATATAATAAGGTTACAGGGAAAAGTCAACTAAATTCCCTTATACAATCAGTCAGTCATATGCTGAAGTAACACTATCAAGATGATGCTCTGGGAGGTTCCAGTTTTCAGAGATATAAATTATATTTTTTAAAATATATTTGATTAGGGATCAGTGGATCACTAAATGAGCGAATTTGTTTCAATGAACACCTTAGGTGCAATTAGCTCTATCAGGCAGGTTTCTGCTAGAGAAATGGTCCTCATAGTATACTGCCTGGATCAGCTGCATTAATATCATCTGGGAATTTTTAGATATATAAAAATGCAGACCCAACCCCAGACCAACTGAATTTAAAACTCTGTCAGGGAACTGTCAACCTGTGCTTTAACAAACCCTCAACTTTTAATGGGCGTCTGATTCATAAGCATTTTTAGACCCCACCCCCAGAATTTTTTATTCAATTGGTCTAGGTGGGAACAGAGAATTAGCTCTTCTAACAAGACCCCACGTAATGTTGTTGCTGCAGATCCAGGAACTACACTTCAGAACCACTGCTCTACAGAAACTGCAGGATCCTTTGGGGCCCATTACCTATTTCAGCAATAAGGTGGGCCATAATTTACTCTACTGGCTTTAAGAGGACCAAAGGGATGGTAAGTTTCATTCTGAAGAGGTTCATAGATTAGTGCCTGAAGGGAAAAGTAAAAAGGGATTCCACATGGCATTGCCCCCTTCTCCTTTGTTATATTGTATATGCCCATATTTGGGGGAAAGCAATCAATCAATGTAAACTAGGCTCCTTATATTGGATGAAGTAGTTTACCTGTCTGGGGAACTGCCAAAGTAGTTGTTATTAAAGCATGTCACACTTCAACACCAACTCCTCCTTAAAAGGAACATCAGAATAAATGGAATAGAACTCCCTAGGACTTAGGAACCGAAATTGCTCCCTTGAGTTTAAGTGTGGAACATGTTTAGAGAAGGAAATGGAAGAATATTTGGCCCTGTGGACCTTGTAGCTTTTCACCAGACATGCCAAAAAGGAGAAGGTGAGGTTGGGGGCGGGGGGCGGGTAGGGAACATGAGCCAAAGGGAAATTTAGGATCCTTGCTCAGAATGCCTATTTGCAGGTACAGCCTGCCTACAAAAGCACCTTATAAAGCTCTCCTAGGATGCACTCATGCTTCTGAGAGGACTCATACATCAGACAATTGTGGGGAAAATATTTCCTTAAGGAGAGGAATTCTCTGAACATGCTCAGTGAGGTTTGGAAGCCAAAAAACTCTGACTGCCCACTGAGAACAAAGTATTTGGATAGGGAAAGACAATGGATCTATAGCTTGAAGATTAATTAGTAAAAGAAATTTAAAAAACCGAAGTGAAAAGCAAAGCCAATGCCAGTGCCACTCTAACCATTTAAAACTTGGATGATAAGAGACATGGCAACCAGTGGCCTCTCTGGCTTAACAGCCACGTGACATTTAATGTTCCCACTTTCAACAATCTTTTCTGCTCCCTCGTTCCCACTGAGCATAGCAAGAAATACACCTGTAGAAAACTGTGAAGTCTGACTTCAAAGTGACCTTGAAATGGCTGCTAATAACATAATATCAGGATGGATCAGGGTGAGAAACAGTCTAAATTCTATAGGCAGTCATCATAACTTAAAAGGAAAAATTTTTTTAATTTTTAATGTGTTAATCTAATAGTCACTTGCAAAGAAAAATAAATGATTTAAAATCCACTACCAAAATGAAATAAATCAAAGGGAGAAAACTGTATGAGAGACAATGAAATGAGGCAAAATGAAGATGTTATGATAATTCATCCTTAATTGTGTCAGTTTCAGAGGGAAATTTGCAGCCACACCAATATTTTGCATGAGGTAGTATGCAGCACTGAATAAGAAATAAGGATGGATTTGTAGCTTCATTATAGGTTCTTTTTCAGAAATGTTCTCCCCTACCTAACCCCATCCCCACTGCCTTACCCATCCCTCCCTCAAAACCCTTCTCCCTCCCATAAAAGAAAATATTCCTAGTAATGTGTAAAGCTAGGAACTCAGGCAAAAATAAGTAAAACATTCAAAAGAGCTGACTTATCTATCTAAACTTAAGAAAATAAATCCTCTTTTGCATTCTAGTGGTCTAACCTCTACTAGGCCTTCTTTCTGTCTTGAATTTCAAAAAAATGAAACAAATGAAAACAGAATCATAAAACTTGTTTCTCTAGAAACAACTCTCTTAAGACCAAGGCAGAACAAAGGTGACATATTTCTTTAGTTTATTTTTAAATAATGAACTCTTAGGCTGCAAAAATACTATGTTGGGTATCAAATATTAATAGACAAAAGATAAATGAGGGAGCTAGAGGAATGTTAAAATGGAAAAAAAGAATGTAAAGTTTGTTAATTTAAAAAGGGTGTATTCGTAGCCTACAGCAAAAAGAGTTAGCTAAATCTAAGGGATTTTTAATATTTTCTTGTTCACATTTTTAATCAAAAAAGTATTAGTCATAAAAAGATGAGTTCAAGTGTCTGAGTGTCTCCATTTAGAAGGCACAGTAACTGGATTAGTGGTGCTGTTACCTGTTACCTGTCTTTTCCAACATGTACACTTTGTACTGCTTACTCCATCCCTATGTATAAGCCTAAGATACAGAGTAACATGGAGTTCTCAATTCCAGCCCATAACGTGCTTTGCAGTCTCATTCTAATCATGATTGGGAAACACTGAATCAGGAAGTGTGTGTCTGAAGATGCTAATATAGATCTTAAAATAGATTCAGTCATTTTCAGTTTTAGATGACAGGAGAGAGGGAATTCTAAGCCTGGAAACATAACTTCAGGAGCAACTTTCCTGTTCGGGGCCTGAAAATTTAAAAGATGAATGTCATAAAACTTTCAGCACAGTATTTCTGACAACTGCAAATTAGATAGCAGCCTATCCAAAAATGACTTTCTGCCATGATCTATCATGGACCTGGGCAGACCACTGAAAGGCAGGAAAAATACTTTGTAAGGTGGCAAGCAATCACTACATGGGTTAAAAAACATGAGTATCCTCCAAGTACTCAATCTATATGAGTGGTGTTGCTCATTCATTTGCTGTCTCAGTTGTTTGCACTTTGTTTTTGTCTGTAGTTTTATTATTTTTTTTAAGAAAAAGAAAATACCAACCTTTAAAAGCCTTTTGCCATCACCACACACATAGCAATTTGCAATATCAAATACAACAATAGCACAGCTAGCAAAAGGGTTTTTAAAGCAGGGGTGTCCACAGCAAAGTAGCGGCATTGGAAAGTACTTGAGCTTTGGAAACAATCTTTTGGGGGCTCAATTTCACATCACTGAATCAATGAATAGTACACAATAAATGACCATTAACTTGTCTACACTACAAAAAACAGTGGCGAGCTTATTAAAGGTGTCCAGAGCTTTTTTTTTTTTTTTTGCTTTTTGCTTTTTTAAATGTAATCCTCCACAAACAATGGTAATTTATATTATAATTTTGACATAGAAAAATATATAAATTCAAACACTTAATACATAATACTTTTCACAACTGAATTTGTCTCTGTTTCCCCAACATCAAGGCCCCATGAACAACTCAAGCCAAAGCTAATTTGCTCCAACTGAACACCCCTGCTGCCTGTTGAAACAAGGGATTGTCACGGAATGATAAGTTATCTATAAACAATACATTTAGGGAAAGCTCTGAAATATAGCCACTTGAGAACCAACCATTGGTGAGCAATTAAAACAAGCAGCTCCTGCTTCTTCACTAGCCAGTGTGGTTTCTTTCTCTTCTTCCCGGAGACTGGTTTAGAGAACGATATCCTTCAGACGCTTCACACCAGGGGACTCTTTGTTGCGACCTTCCTTCAGAATGGGGTTGACCTCATGCATGACTTTCTCGCTGTCAGCTCCACGGGGCTCAGCTTCAGAGGGACGAGAAGGGCCATTGTTGACATTGTTGACATACTGCTCCAGATCACGGGCTGGGGGAGCCAGCGCAATGGTGTAAGACATGGAAGGCTTGGTGGGTAGAGGGCTCTTGAGGTGGAGCGGGGAGGTGACAGGGCTAATCGCCTCACAGCCATTGCCTGCCTCCCGGATAACGCTGTTGACCTTGGGACTGCAGATGGTCACATCCACAGTCCTCTTGCCTTTCAGGGTGGGCCTCTCCTCAGCCGGGTGGTTGCTGACATCTTTTCCAAAGGTTGCGAAAGTCCGTTTAGTGGGGCCGCAGTCGTCATAAGGCTCAACATCAGCAGCAGCAGCTTCAATGGACAGCGCAATGATGTTCCTCACATGCTCCGGGGACTTGGAACGGATGGGCATGGGATTCCGGGGCATCCAGCACCTGTCAGAGTGGCCAAGAATCCGGCATTCTTCCCGGCAATGAAATCCCTCATTCTGATCTGTTTAAAAAAAAGAAAATACCAATTTCATCAGCTTTTCCCAGGAATCACTGTTATTCCCCAATGTTCTGGTTTCTTAGATATCCACAGGCCCCTCTGGGAAATGGCACTTTTAGATAGTCCTTTATAGCCTTTTGGGACAAGTATGAAGAACTGGATTATTAAAAGGCAGTAGATCTTCCCCTATGTACACCCCTTTTAAGGTTCTCACTACTGACAAAACCAAAAAACTAAAGGGAAACACATTATGATGAAAATACATATATATTCTAAAGCTCACCCAGAGCGTCAAGGTGCTGAGAGTCAGCATTTTTATCAACAACTCCTGCTAAAAATCATCTATGTTTGAAATTGGATTCAGCAGATGAGGGAGTGGAGGCAGGGAAGGGAAACCAACAGTCAGTATATTTGAAGCCTTGGCCATATTTTTGAACAACAGCATTGCCCGACACCCTTCCACCCTACCCATCACTGATACACAGTGCTTAATTTAAGTTTAGATTGATATCCTACTCTCTATGAAAACCCATTCACACCCCTTCCTTTTGACCACCAGTCCCACCAGCCAATCTCCTCACTATGCCACTTCCATGACTTTATTTGCCATTAGAAGGAATATACTGAGATCCCTTCTTTCCAGCTGACTCATAAGCTTCAATTGGCCCTATGCAAACATCAGTCACATGTTGGGCATTGTTAATTAGACCCAACTAGCCATCCCTCCTTATCTTTCTTATCTGCAGTTTTGTTGGAGAAATACTTCTTCAAATAAAGAAATCACTCATGGATTATTTTAACTCTATCCTGGAAGATCTCAGCAGTTACAATTCATAATTATTGGGGAGACATACATTTCTCTTTCCAGGTCAGGTTCACTAAGGGTTAAAGCTTCAATTCGGCTCTCAGAGAGGCTTACTACACAGGCTTTACCAAGCATGAACCCAGGGTTAACTTCTGCCTGTCACTGGAAAACTGTTAATCTCAATGTTTGTTTTATAGCCCCAGTTTTCCATATCTATTTATATTTATGTTACATTCTTACAAAAGGATGACCTAATGAAAATTTTCATCACATTGCACAGTCTGTCAAAATATGAGCAGCTTAACATTTACAGAAAATACATATATATACATATGTATATAAAATATACATACATATACATATATGTGTGTGTGTGTGTGTATATATATATATATATATATATACATACTGTGACTGATTTTTTGCCAGAGGAAGACGTCTACAATTCAGAGTCTTACCTGGTAACAATCTATATATAACACACCTTCCTTGTATACTTGTATTTCTATTTTGTTGGCATTTTTTGGTGGCTTCATTAAAGAGTAAATGGCATAGCAAAGCAAGGAACTGCTCTGCCTCATTCATCAAAAGTTCTTTGGTGAAAGGGAACAAGGGAGAGGGCTCAAGGAATCACGGTTGAATTGGCTGTACAGTTCATTGTTTGGAGGAAAGATATTAGAAGCCTGTTAAATATCAAGGATCTAATCTAAGCTAAATCCAGATTTCAACACAATTCTGGGTGTGGTCCCTGACCTCACTTAAGCTACTTAAAAACAAACTAAAGACAAGACCTCTTCAGTGTACCTGGACATAATTTGCCAATTTATCTTTAAGATGGACCCTTTTAGCCCTCTTTCAGTGGGGAAATAAAACACTCAGAATTTTGCACAATGGGAATCAAATGACAAGTGAACAACATCACCAACAGAGAAAATGCCTTCCACATAGACAGGACAATGTTTCATGCAAATTCTAGCACAATTCCATAACAGGCTGCGTGGCCACTTCTGCAAAAATGAAAGGTCTGTCAAAGCCCTTTCTCTGCCCCTTCCCTGCAAACTCTCTCAGTTGCCATCTGATGCCCTATTATCATTCAACATACATATATACCTGGGAGGCAGAAAATATGAAAGTAAGGGAAGCGCGTTGGGATGTACTTGAGAAGCACTTCATGTAGACTAAACAGAATGAGTGGAAGAGTTAGTTGATCCACTTTTAATCAGTTTCCTCCAAATATAGTGCTTTCCCCAGGAGGGCCCAAGATCCCTTTACTAGATCAGAAGTCACATCTTTAGGTTTTCCCAGTAAGCTGTTTTTGCCTCTTTGTCTCTACTGAGGCCTATCTGGTAACTTTCCAAAGAATACCTCTAAAAAAATTAGTAAGTGTTTCAGGGTAGAGAGAGTAAGCAGGTGCAAGTGGGGGGAGAGTTCAATAAATTATTTCAATTTCTACAAATCAGAGTAAAATACCCTGGAAGCCAGCAAAAAATGTTCAGAAAGCTGCAAGATCTCTGTCCTTTTTGTCCCTAACTGAAATACATAAAAGCATAAAGACCTAACGTAGAGCCTTGAAACCATGGACATGTGAGCAACTAAGAAAATCCCAGCCAGCCCTGAAACCATGAACATATGAGCAAGTATGAAAAGAAAATCCCAGCCAGATTAAGACTGATATTGCAGGCCACTCGCTCACACTTCTAAAGCAGAACAGTAGTGAAGTACGATTGAGTAGAATCTGCCCAATGTTCTCAACATGAAGCTCTTATTTCTTTGAGAGTTGTTTTTTTTTTTAATATTTTTTTTTTAGATGAAGTCTTGCTCTGTCATCACCCAGGCTGGAGTGCCATGGCATGATTGCAGTCCACTGCAACCTCCGCCTCCCAGGTTCAAGGGATTCTCCTGCCACAGCCTTCCAAGTAGCTAGGACAACAGGTATGCGCCACCACGCCCAGCTAATTTTTGTCTTTTTAGTAGAGACGGACGGGGTTTTACCATTGTTGGCCAGGCTGGTCTCAAACTTCTGACCTCGTGATCTGCCCACCTTGGCCTCCCAAAGTGCAAGTGCTGGGATTACAGGCGTGACCCACCATGCCTGGCCTTCTTTGAGTTTTTAATATGAAATGACTGTCCTCTGATTTTGAGATTCAGTTTTTTTCAACACCATTCAATAGGAGAATGCCACCCATGGGTCACCCTGAATCCAAGTACAGTGCTCCTTCTTTATACCAGGCTGCCTCAAATTAACTGCATGAGGAGACTTGGAACCCAGAATACAGGGAGGGAGAATAGAGAGCCCAGAGGCAGACACCTCCAAGAACTTACAAATATAGGAAGACAAGAGTAAAGAATTCAATCTTCTCTGAGACTTCTCTTCATAGATAGTATTGCCTTCAGTTTACCCATTGTCTAAATGAAACAATCACTGTCTGGGAAAAGGGAGAAGTAGACTAACTCACGACATACCCAACAACGCAATCAGTCTAAGCCTCCCTACCAAGCTCACTGGGCCTACTCCAGCTCCATATGAGCTGGATTCATATGCAGTTTTCTCAGATTACTTATGTAAACTTATATGCACTGCCATTACCTCATGCAAGTGAAGATGTGAATCTAAGAGACTCTTGCTTACAATGTCTCATCCTTCGCTTGGATCTGCTAACTATATTTTTTTCAGTCCTTACCAAGGGCACTGAGTTGCTGTTTCTTATTTTTGTATTTCAGATATTTTGTGACATTTTTGTCTATACAGTTATAATGAAATCTAATTTAGCTTAAAAATGTTCATAGCCACTTTATACATGAAATTAAAAATGGTTAATATAGACAGGCAGAAAGAGCATCTCTGCCCAGCACAGGGTAATTTACAATCATAAATATACTGCAGATGAATTACCTTTCAAAAATCAAAATTTTAGTTAAGTAAAGAAATTAAGTGTGTAGTAAATGTAAGAAAATCACAATACAAAGCCCCTAAAAAATAGCAATGAAGACAGACCAGATGTAAAAAATAAAGTAAAAAACACTGCTTCTGTAATTGCACAGGACTTGTAACGATTCTGTGCCACCCCTCATGTAGTCTAGTGGCTGGGAATGGAGCTATGAGACTAGAGAAGAATGATTTTATATCATCATAAACTGTCAAGGTGCTGGATCCAGCATATATAGAGACGTGGACTAAATTCACTTATTTCCTGCTAAGATTCTTCTTATTAGCCTATTTGTGACTTGGGACTTTGCTACATTTTTATCTGAAAGTTCTGACCTGAACCTAAGGAAAGCAAAATACAGCATTCTAAAATCCACATATAGTTGTGGAAATTCATGTATCGATGAATGAAGGCAGGTGTCTTTAATTTAAACATACTCATGATTAGGGTTGACTGATGAATCTGCAATTGCAAATTGGTTTTCCCTTCTTCTGAAGTTGTTCCTAGGATTTGCAAAAACAAACAAGAAAAAGAGAGTTCATAAATTTGGAAGAGGAACACAAATCTTGAGACCAGATAACTCCTTAGTTCAAAACAAGTCTGATTATTTTAGACCATAAAAAAGGAAGTTTGTTCAATCTAGATGGTAAAAAGTATTTGGGGGCCGCAATTTGTCATCAGGAAATTTGGTGAGACAATTCCAAAACCCCTGACCAAAAAACAACAAAAAAATCTTAAAAGCATCAGTCTTGTGAGGGTACAGGAGGCATAACAGGCAGTAATGACTAAGTCAACATGGATTAAGGAAGTAATTCAAATAGAAAAAGACCAGAATGTGTTATTTTGTGCAGATAATAGCAAAACTTTATGCAGCAATTACTACTCTGCTCAGGACATGAAACTGCCATCTCCTCAGATGTGGGCAAACAATGTGCTTCCACACTAGAAAGAGCCTACCAATGGTCCCCACCAAAGTAATACAAGAAAATGATGAAAACATCATCTCAGGCTTTGCTAAAACGTTCAAAGTCCTGGTGGAATACAAGAGCTAAGAGGCTCTGCTGGGTTTGTATAAATATCCAGTCACAATGGATGTGTTCAATAATACTGGCAGTTTTTTACTGTGATTCAGAGTTTGGGTGTATTAACTCAAAGATACTAATGATCATAGACAAAAATACAACACTAAAGTAGTTCAAGGTTACAGTTACAAGAGAGCAATATGTTTCCTCTTCAGAAATGATCCACAATCAATGAAGCAGAAAAAAGTT